AGGCCGGAGCACAAGTAGCCCGGAACGTTCGGGTTGGCGACATGAACATCGATGTGCCTGTCAGTGGCACGTCGCATCGAGGTAGTCGCCAACGGCTTGCCTCTTTGGCACGGCGCCCAACTCGCGATCGACGCAACGATCGTCAGCCCGGTCACCCGAACCGGCTCCGTGCGGCCTGGCGCGGATACCCGCCCCGCAGCCGCTCTGCAGGACGCAGCCAGACGCAAACGGCGCCAAGTCTACGGGGCGCCAGACGTGCGCGGCTCGTCGTACTCGGGATCGAGGTTGGCGGGCGCTTCAGCACTGAAGCCGCCTCCTTCCTGCGCCTCTTGGCACAACACCGTGCCGCCGGCGTGGTGGCACCGCTGCGATCGGTTGCGCGTGCTGGCTGGGTGCAGAGGTGGTCCGGGATGCTCGCTGTTGCTGCGATGCGAGTCTACGCGGCTTCCCTGCAGGAGCTCCCGCCTGCTGGTGAGGCCTGCGTCGCGGGTGAAGCGCCGGAACTCCACGAAATCCTTGCGGATGTGCGGGGCAGGCTCCCCCCCGACGATCAGCCGTTTGCCGGCGCCAACCTCACACGCTGACTGAAGCCCGCCGTAGGCTGCAGTGTTTGTTGCATTGGGACCACGTGGACGGCTGCAAAAAGGTGCGTAAAAAAATACGACCTTTGTTTTTTGCAATGACATGACATCAATGCTTGAGCTCTTAAAATTCGGTTTTTTGCAGTTGAGACACTACAAGCCGGGTGGAAGTTCCAACCAACGGGACCATAGCCGCTGCTTTCCTGTTATGCTGGCGTTTTGGAGCCGTTCGTGTATGATGGTGATGCTTGGTGCACTTGATTCACTTGTTGACGCAGGGTAAACTGGGTAAACGAAGATCCAGATTGCACCATAATTTTGGAGAAGTTGGAGAACTGGGAAAACTATGGTTTCATGGTGGTCGGAATTCCGGAAACCGTCCGGCAATCTTTGCACCACCAAGAACATTAAAGATGTGTGGGGATCAATTGAGAAAGCACACACGCACAGCACATTCTATGCAATTCTCAGTTCTCTAGGTTATGACAGTTCGGGCTTCGGACTTTGCACCCAAACATGTCGGTTCAAGCGTTAGCAGCAAATGTTCGACATTCGTATGAAAACATGTTGTATCCTATGCAAGAAGACGAACAAGCTGTCGCAAAGGGAAACCTCACGGCGTCATTCGGCAAACGATATACGAACTTAATACGAAGTGTCGTCGGTATCGATAGGCGTCCGAGCATGGCATTTGCCCGAGTTCGCATGCAGTGGTAGCAGCAGCCGCACACTTAGGCAGCAGAGTGTGTGTTTTGCAAGAACAGCATGTGGTCGTGAAGGGGATGAGGTGAGTTGGGTGAAGGAGTCCTCTTCAGCGACAGCGTGTATTGCAGATGTGGCAGCAAAGCATCGGTGTCCAAGGTTGAGGGTTCGCGTGTTCCTGCAAGGCCATCGTTCATGAGCAGCTGATGCTCCTTGTTTGCAAAAACGGTTCACGGAAACGAGCATGCGCGAACCCCTGGAATGCTGAGGCAAGCTGGCTTCCTCAATCGGCCGTCCCCACCACTGGCACGACGGCAGAGGGAGAATGCACAGCAACCGACACAAAACGTCGTAAAGTTGGACCAGGCCGTCCCAGCACAAGTTGGAATGCTGCGTGTTCAAAGGGTTCTGCTGGGAGCAGCCAAGCTGAAGTTTCAGGCCTTTTCATGGGGTCCAAGCAAAGATGTACTGCGCGAGCACAACTCCAACGATGATGCAGGTCGTAGCCTTGATTGTTTGCTTCGGGATTCTGGCCACGGCCAACATGACATTGACCTGTTCGCATTGAGAGAGGTGCGGTATCGTTTCTTCGCAACGACGCCGGCAAGTCCGGTCCACAGTGTGCTTTAGCATGTGCTTAGCATTCCTTTCCACTATATCAAACACCTTCGATTTGGTGCCACAAACTGGGATCATACAGGTGACATTTTGGTTAAGATGTTCAGGCCCACAGCGCGTTTCGATGTTGGCGATATTTGCGAAGTCGTCGGTGGTGCGCCGGCCACTCAGTTTTCAGCCAAAGGTCGCGAATCGAAAACACGGGCATGAGCACTGCGGAATCAAGGCTAGTCCGCGCTTCGGAAGAGCTTGACAGTGACAAGATTGGTCAGCTTGTGGATGGGCCACTGGCTGAGAACGGTTTATTGAGTTGGCGTGCTGCATGAGTCTGCGCTATATGTGCTATGCCATCATGTGAGGTGCCGAGCAGAAGTCGTGGAAGTAGGTGGGATCTTTAAGTTTCAATTTGCAGGCAACGATGCGTTAGCATTCCGCGGAGAAGGTTCAGGGCCTACTGGCAAGCGGATCGCGATCGAAGACACAGACGGCCTGAGAGGATGGGTCCGAGCCTCACGCCTTCACATCCTGAGCAGTTGTGGTGGCGAGTACTGCATGTGCTGAACGCGGAGGTGAGTGTGGTGGCCACCACAGGCGAAACTCTCGTTCGAATCGTCGAGAAGGACGTTGGGCGCAAGGCACAACGGTGCATCTCCAATATCCTTTCTAGACATGACGGAGGAGCTGCGAGGCGAAGCTCGGGCAAAGAGGTCACCTTCATGATGATATGGAGTTTTGTGTAGCAGGTTTGGGCAAGGCAGCTGGGGAGTGGTCATGCAAAATATAAGGCGCAAGGAACACATGCCAGCAGCAGGATTGAAGCCGCTGCGAAAGCAGCACGGCACGACTGCAGCAAACCCACAGCGCGCTTTGCTGCATCCTTGGCCTGAGCTGCTTCATTGACCTATAGAGCCTTTAGCATTGTGGTGCAAGGATGTTGGAGACGTCTGTGACGTCGTCGGAGGAGCGCCCTGATCCGAGCTGGCGATGCAATTGAAGCAACTTATCAATGCTGCGAATTTTCGGATTCCTTGACTTGGCAGCATGGCTAAGGATCATGCGAGAGAGCGAGGATTTGGATAGTCGACAGCTGGGGAAGCTGCAGAACAAAAGCCAAGTGAAGGCACAGCGAACCTCACGTCGCATACCGGTGAGTGCGTGCCTGCTGAAGGTTGTGGAGATTGGTACTGGGCCAACAGGCAAGCGTCTGCTGGTGACCGATGACACAGGCCATGTCTCCATTCCAGCTTTCCGGACTTGCCATGTTAGGGACTGTTATCCACAGTGTGTGAGTTCTGTCAGGGTCTTTCCGAATTGTGAGGTCGTGCAGGTTGGATAAGCGTGGTCTCATCTGATGGTCCGATGCTGAAAGTGTGTGCTCCCGGAACCACCATCACCCAGCGACTGCAGACTGCAGGTACTCAACTCCTGCGTCCTGTGAAGACGTTCAGCGCTTGGTAAAGTCACCGAGACAACATGTCCGATGTTTTGACGAGAGCCTCTCGTTCCCACTGCACAGAGCAGGGAGCTGCTATGTAAGCTGCTACTTGGGTGCTTGCCTTCGAGTGTGCCAAGGCCGGAACTACCATTGCCCGAGACTCCGCAGGAGGGTCCAGACACATTGGCTGCAAGCGGTACTTTGCAGTCCTGGCAGAGGAGATGCAGCTCAGCAAGCAGGTGACGCACGTGGTCGCCCCCCAAGTTCGCAAGGCAAGCTGGAGAAACGTTCGATGTAAGCTGGTCAGAGACTTGCAGACTGTTGTGTCCTCTCAAGGAGGTGCTTTCGCAAGCGCTGGCCCCCTTCGTGGAACCCGCAGTCCTGGTCAGAAGCTTGATATTGCGGTGTGATAGGAGCCGGCGGAATGCCGCAATGGCGTACAGGTCAGTTCCTCTCGAGCTCAGCGCGGTTTCGATTTGGTCCGGATCCCGAATCTTTCCACAGCTTTGCATTTTCCAGGGGGCGTTTCGACCTGCTAGGAAATTTCTTACTTGGAGAGGGAACACATGGAGCAGCTCTTGGCGGACAAGTTTGCTACCGAGGGTGTCCAGGCAGGATGCCCAGACAATATGACTGTCCCTGTTTTGCATGCTATCTTCCACTTGACTAACAGCTCGTGAGGAGCCCAGCTACGACCATGTCAAGCTCCGCGATGCAAAGGGAAAATGGTACAGGCTCGGACGTCCTGAGGTTTATGAGCCAAAGAAATGGCACATTCGCAGCAGCAAGGCCTGGCGAAGCACCAGAAGTGCCGACGCCCGACTTGTTTCCGATTACACTCTACTACCGGCCGACCACCGAGCGAGCGAAGAGGTTTGCCAGTCTTGCGAGATACGCGTCGATGTCGTTCATGTAGAACATGTCGAAGTATTCACTTCTGAGTCCTCCGAAGCCTGAGCAATCTGCCGAAATGGTGTTGGGCTTGGGCTCTATCGTGTAATTTTTCGTGCAGCGAGCACAGCCTCACAGGTCCTTGCCTTGCGCCAGCGACAGGCATACGAGGCACGTGCGGTTCATGGTGGTTTCTCGGTGACATCCGGTGCCTCCTGTGCTTCCGCCAGGCCTTGACACCAACTCAACGCCGTGGTCTCTCAGAAGTGCAGCCCTGCCCCTGTGGAGCTGCATAGTCCCGGAGTGCTTGGACAAGCTGCAGGCGCCAACTGGAGCGTGCCTACTCTTCAGAGAGCAACGACTTACTGGACCGGTGGTAGAAATCCTTGTGCGGACGTCTGTGTATTTCTGTTTGTTGACCATGCGGGTCTTTCGCTGCTGGGCATCTGATGAGGACCGTGCCATGCGCCTCGCGCATTCCCTTGGCCTACCACTCGGGACTGCTGCATCTGCTCCGCCGTCCGGCTGCTCATTGCGTCAATGTACAAAATTTGTGCACAGGACTGCTGGGCTGCCCGTCTCCTTGATGCCAGAGTCCGTTTGCTTCCCGAAAGGCCGCCAAAACAGCACAGCGTAGTGCGCTGAAATGCAACTGAGATTCAGCGAGATCACGAAGTCCGAGCAAGAACCGTTGCAGGCAACGAGCCCTTGCTATACGACGGGCATCTTTACTCGATGCAGTCAACATCCATGCTGGTCTTCGATCCTCCAGACTTCAGCGTGCCAATTCCTCAGCCGCCAAAGTTCCTAGCACCACTTGCAGCTGTTTCTTGATGCGCCAGACCCATGGGAATTTGGAATGCGCAGCGTTTGGGGCCTCAGAGGGCGCGTGACGCAAATTCATCTTGTCGTATATGACCACACTCCAGGCCAGCGCGTGGATCCCGCCGTCATGCAGTCTGGGCCTCTTTGAACCCGCTTGTCGTACCCTCTCCTTGTTGCTTGGGTGGCTGTGGCCGGATCCTGTTCTGGGGTTTAGCACTCGGAGGACTTTCTTTTGTTCGACGAATTCAGCTTACAAAGCTCCGCTGATGGATCTAAATTGTTGGTGTTTATTTGACGTGGAGATTCTTGAGCTCACCGAAACTTCGCAGCGCCTCTGCTAAAGCAGGGTCGGGTCAGGCCCAGTGTTTTGGCTCCCATAGGCTCCCGCATCCTTCAACGGCGTGAGGGGACAGTTTCCCTGCAAAGGAATGATGATGCTGGACGCACTGACATCATCCACTTCGGCAAGTGCGCGTGTCAGACTAGACATAACAAAAATAAGCCCAGAGTTCTGGAATATGCCTCAGAAGCAATATTACTGAGCAGGACCTTTCACATGCTGGAACAGGGGCATGTGATCGATCCCGATTCTCAGCAGGCCGGTCAAATCTCCTGTGTTTTGCTCACAAGAGTCGCGAGCAAAGTGAATGTAGAAAGAAGCGTTCAGCCTCAGGAAGTGGATTTGGAGTTCAGGGTTCAGAGTCATGCTTGTAAGGTGGTTGGGATGATACGGCCTATGACCGGTGACTTCGAGTTCTTTCATCCCATTCCTCTTCCTGCCGGGAACCTGGGTCAACGCGGCACGGGCGTGTAGCAGTGCAGCGTAGCGCTTGCAATGCGAGGTGGCTGACTTCATGATGCGGCGTGGCTTTCGGCTCGAGGCTCCTTCTGCAAGGCTCACCAACGGTCCTTTTGTGTCGCTGAGCTGCAAGATGCTGCAAGCGGTTTCTCTAAAACAAGCCACGCTGCCGTCAGCACAGTAGCAGACTCGCACCCAAGGCAAATCCTGCCCCAGGCCTGCATCTCGGGAAGTCCTGCTATCCCGTACAGTGCAGCTTTCGCTGCTTTGATGCGGCGTACGTGCGGAAAGGTGGAAGATGACGACGGAATCCCGGTGTGTGCCCCAAGCGATGCACCTGAAACGGCTTGTTCAAGCCAAGACTCGGCATAGTGCCCAGCCCATGCTGCTCCGGTTCACATTGTCACTGAGGAACTTCACTTGCAGATGCAGGCTGCTGGCAATGCAAAAGCGTATTCTTGGCATGTTTGCGCAGCCCCGGCAGTAGAAGTGTGCGACTGTATAACTTGATGTAGAGCGCAGGTTGAAGTATGCCCCAATTGAACAGCGTGGTAACAAAGACGTGATGATCCAAGCAATGCGCCAGGCCGGGATGGTGCATTGTTAAGTCGTGGCTTTGCTGACAAGTACCAACTTGAATGTGCAGGGACAGGGCCCACAGAGTTGGAAGATCATGCTTTGTGGAACGCAAGAGCTCAGATCCCAGAAAGTCGTCCGTAGATGCTTTCGAGCATGCCTCACATCATCATTTTGAAGACACTGAGGATCCTAGAAGACCGGGATGTTCTTTCCGAAGCAGTGAAACAGGACAACATTACAGTCTGATGGTTGCTTGATGGCACTCGTTTTTCCTTGTTGGCAGGACTACTCTGTCGCGGTCTCGGACATATTTTATGCTCGGCACGAGATCGCAGAGACTGGCGATATCAGCCAAAAGCAGGCTATGGCCTATGCGTCCAACTACTACAGTGACCGCAACTTTATGCTGCAGGTGGGTTCACCATGGGGAAAGAACCCAGAACACTGTTTTGCGAGCGTGTGTGTTGAAACTGGGAGTGCTGCGATGTGTTTGGTGGGCAGGCAGTGCAGCAGCATGGAGTGGCTTTGCAATATGGCACCGAGGAGATCCGTCATTGCCCCAGTCTTGCACTGAACACTTGTCACGTCGAGGACGTGTCCCATTCGCGATTCGCACAAAGCAAAGCCCGCACTGCTCTCTCGCAGGTGCAGATCCAGACCTTGCCTACATGGCTGTTGGGGCCTTGCCCAGCTCAGAACAGGAGGGTCTCCTTGCCCCGTGCCTCTTGTCCCTGAACGAGGTGAAGGCAAGCTGGCGGGCGCTGGAGAACGTTTCGGAGAAGCTCCGCGGGTCCTCGCGCATCGACTTGACCTCAGCTTCGGCCCGGCCGCCGTCATCTCATCCTCTTTGTCTTTAGGTCCGAGAGGCCGTGAAGCAGTGCTGGCAAGCCTTGGAGTACGCTTCAGAGGAGAGCTGCCACACGGAGTCCTCTGCGGAGAGCTGGCCTCGCCGCCCCTCCTTGCTTTTTGAGAGGAGCTCCAGGATGACAAGGATGTGGTCAGCTCCGGCCTCGGCACTCTCGGCACGAGCTCTGCTCTGTTTCTTCCCCGTTTTGGGGCACCGAGACCTGGCCGTGAAGCAAACCTGGCGTGCGCTCCAGTTTGCCGTCAGAGTCTTACATCAGCGCACGGCACCATGGTAAAGCATTGCTGTTCGCGGTTGCCGACAGTCCTGTAGCCCAGTCTGGTCGTCTGCGGGGCGACGCAGCCTTCATGTTGAAAGCAGTGGCCCAAAGTGTCGCCGCTCGGCTGTGGTCCCATATAGCCAGCAGGAAGCTCGACTAGTTTTGCAGGTCGCTCTTCATTGCATATCGGATTCAGGACGCCCTGCATTTTGCTAACGATCTGCTTCTCGGCGATGCCGACTTCATGAAGCAGGCAGTCTAAGGTTTTTGTGCCGAGCTGTGTCATTCCAGGTGGTGCCTCTCACCGGCAAAGCGAGTCTCGGGTATTTCTGCCGCAGGCTGTGCAGCTTGACGGCATGGCTCTTCGCTTTGCTGCAAAACTCCAAGTGTGCTTGTGCCCCATCCGACGCAGTCATCCTAATGCTTGCTGGCTGCACTCAGGCAGAAGATGTTGTCGACCGGGATTTGGTTCTGGAGGTGGGCAAGAAATCATTTTTGATCAGTTGGATTGGTCGTACGTCCAGGCTGTGAGGACAAATTGGCATGCACTTCAGCATGCCCCTGATGGTCTACGTGCAGACAGGGCAGTGGTTCTGGAGGCTCTGAGGACAGCAGCTTCAGCCTTTGGGAAGCACACTGCCTGATGTCACACAGGCCGTCCGGCAGCATCATTCTGCGTTGAAGCTGGCATCTCCCGATGCGCTGCTGGATGAGGTTCTTCAAAGTCATGCTCCTTTTGAGAATGTGGTTTCATGTGCCTCTTTTCGTTTCAGGAGCTGATCTTTGAGGCAGCCAGGCGGCGACCAGACTTGCTGCGCGAGGGTCTCGGAGGTTCATGTGATCAGGCTGGTGATGGAGGGCATTGAAGAGGAGAGTCCAGAAATCGCAAAGGCAGCTTGCCGGATGAGCCTCGGTCCAGCAGAGGCAGACGGCAGAAGATTTCCGACCAAGTTGCTGCTTGCCATGCCTGTGAGAGGTCTCATGATGCGAATGGTCAAGTTGCACCCGATGTCCCTTCAATATGCTGCAGATGGAATCCGTGCCATCCCGAGTGTAGCATCGAGCATCCCAACCCGAAACTTCTCTCGGCGGCTGCACTCGTGGCAACGAGGCTGCGATGAGGAAATAGTCCTGGAGGCTCCGGCCGCTACTGATTTTGGGAGGGGTCTGGCGACGTGCCGGGTTTGAAAGGCTTTGCGGCGGAACTGGAGAAGCTTTCAATTTGCTGCGCCGGAGCTGAAGTCCTCGTTTGGAGCTTGGCTCGTGCAGTTGGAGATGAAACAGCTTAGCATCGGGAGAGACCTCTTCGTGCCTTCATGAGGTTGCGATAACCGATAGCCCATCGATCATGCAACTCATCACATTTTGCCGGCATTGCTGTCCCACAGCAGTAGTTCGCTGGCTTCTCTTAGAAATTCGCAGAAGTAGACTCATGTTCGCACGTGATGTGCTCTGCCCTTATCAAAGCTGGCCCCTACCGTCACCTGCCACCACTACACCGCAGTACACCGTACACTATTACACTGTTGTTACACCATTACACCACTCCACCACGACACCACAAAACACGACTACAAGCCACACTACACTGCTACATCACAACACCACTTCACCACGACACCAATGCACCACTATGCCACTGCAACACTATGGTGCTGCACCGCTACGCCACTACACCACTACACTGTTACTACACCACTACACTGCTACTATGCGCTTCCACGGCCGCGAACCACCTACTCCCGCCGCCACCACCCCTACCCTGCCGCTACCATCGCCACCACTACCACTACTTCGTCCGTGCTGCTGCTGCTGCTGCTGCTGCTGCTGCCATTGCTACCGCGAAGCGAACACTGTAGCCGTAGTTTGTGCTGCCGAGAAGCTGTACTGAGGCAGCGGTTCCTACTGCAGGCTGTGCAGCGCGATGTGCGAATCCAAGAATGCTAACACCTGACAGTGGTCAACTTGCCTTGATGTTCCTGTTGCCGTCGAACGGCTCTCAAGGCTCTGGTTCTATCCCTGGCTGATGAGGAACTTCGGAAGGAGTGGGCGGTCTGAAGTGGTAGTTTAGCGAGTGTTTGGAGCCTGCTTCTGTTGTATGCAGGATCCGCAGATCGTCTGCGAAGCTGTGGAACGGGAGCCGGCATCTGAGCCGTTAAGTGGATTCCTTCTCAGTCAAAATGAGGTTTAGTGCAGCCTGTTGTCGAAACGTCTTCGGCAGGTGGGAAATGCTTCAGCATGTCTCCGAGGACTTTTCTGTTTCACTGCTTGTTTGTTTCGGGCACACTTTGATGGTGTTCGATGGTTCCCTTCGCAGGAGCTTCGGGGCAATCGCACCTTCATGATGGAAGCTGTGGGTGCTGTGCTAAGCATGTCCGATGAAGTTCGCAGATGGTGAAAGGGACAACATGCGGTCATCTCCATTATGAAAGCTACTGAGGCTGTGTTGCACTGTCTGGATGAAAACCAGTCGCACAAGGTCAGTCAGCAGGTTTGAACGCGTGCACCGACTAAAATAGTAGTGTTATGAAAACAACAGTCAGCTGGTCACGAGACGGGAGATTCAATTTACTGCACGAGCGAGCATGCTGCATGGCTGGAAGCAGAGGCAATTCCGCCTGTCACGGCACCAATGAGGGTGTTGCCATGGGGTGCGGGGCAAATCCATCGGTGCCAGCATGGCTTCCTGACAGCGAGGGAGCTGTTGCGACGAGAAGTAGCCTGCTGAAGCGGCAAGACTTTTGCAAGTCGCCACGACAACCTGCTGTTGCTGTGCTTCCTGGGTTGTTGTGTGGACAAGCGGCATGAGGGGCGCGACAGAGTGCAAGGTTCGGCAGTAAGTGTTCACAGTGTCCGGCGTGGCATTTTCCAAAGGTCTTGGAGCTTTAACAAGATCCTTTTTTACAATCGTCCTCCTCCATTTTCTCAGGCCTTGCCTGCACCAACGGGTTGTTCGCAGCTTTCCTCAATCCCGCTGCAAATGCTGCTTGGATGTTTGGACGTGGCCTGCCGTCCCGAGCATCTTAGCGTTGCATCGCCGATATTGCACAGGGAAGAAGGAGCTCCGCCCAGCTCATCCATGGAACTACGGAATCGGAGAAACAGCTATTTGTTCTGCTTGACAAATCTGAGGTGTGCAGAGAGCAAGATGCACAGGGTGGTCCAGCATGAATGCACCGCTTCGACGGCTTTCAACGCACATCGAGGAGAAGATGGCTTGAGTATCTGCATGCAAAACCTCGGAATTACGTTTTTGTAATCCCATTCATCGTTTTCAACTAAATGGACGCCATCTTCGGGTTCACTGGGGCACCGCTTTTCGCCGGGCGCGAGCACTGCAGAATGCCCGTTCCTTTCGTGCTGATGTGGTTCCGATGTGCTATGGCTATATGATTTCAATTGTAGATGTGGGCTATTTAATTTCCTCGACCCTCCAACGTTGTCGTTTTTGGGATCCTGATCACACTGGCGTGGGTGGTTTCTGCACAGGGCTATCAGGAGCTACTGAGAGCAGGTTGCTTGTTTTTTTGTTGCCTGTAGCTGGCATTACGTTTTCGATTTCCATGTGCCCGGACATGAGCTCTGACAGACCACATCGGCCCCAGATTGAATGATGTTCGGAAAATGTAGCAATTCGAGTGAGTGGCTACCAAAGTATCCTGCTCGGGGGCGCCTCCGAGCTGTGCACAAGTCGATACTGCATGCGGGTTCTTGTCCTATGTTGGTCATTTCGCAAGAGCAAGGCTTTAAGTGAGCTCTGGCAGTTCTGGCAGTTGTGCACGCGACGACAAGGCATCGAAGGTATGTCGCTGAAGTATGCTTCAGCAGAATTGAGCATGGTGCTCAGGCTTGGTGGTGCAATATTCACTTCTTGGAGTGGTTCGAACGTGTCGAGGCCACGATCGTGAACTCGTGGTGGCAGCAATTGGGAATTCTGGGCAAGCGCTGGAGTTTGCTGCGGCGATCTGAGAATACTAACATCGCTCCTTGAAATACTGTAGAATGCGGTCCGAAAACCGCAAAACGAAGTCTGCAAAAGCGAGCAGAGTAGACTTGGAGATCTGTAACCTCCGAGGCTCAAGAGCTCCGCTCCGATCCTGAGATGGTTCTCATGGCCATTCGCCAGGCGCGTTTCCATGCCTTTCGCTTGTTCGGTGTTCCCGCTCATCTGGCTTGGATTTTCTGCAGGACTTTGAGGCCGTTTGCCACGCTCATGAAGCTTTGGCCGGTGACTTCTCGCTGAGGGCTTGGACTTCAAGAGGTCATGTGTCATGTCGTGGTATGTCCACTGTCACGTATATCGTATGACAGTCTGTTGAGAATTCGGCGAGTTGTGAAGTGGCTCGCTGCCCGCCCAGAAATTTTCGAGGTTTATGTTCAGAGCAGTTCGAGTGGATGGACGTGCCTTGAAAGGTGTCTGCGTCTCGGAGGAGGGGCTTCGATGCGTGCTGAGCGATTGCACGTGCCACGGCTAAGGCAACAATTGAGCTGCAAGCTGATCCGGACTTGGTCTTGGCAGCCGTGCCTGGATCACATTGAACATGTGATGTTGCGCCGCCGGAGAGATCACTTCCTTCAGTTAGTAGTACGGCTAGTAGTGATTGCGACCAGGGCGTGCCCACTAGGTGCAGCAAAACTGGCGATCGCTAGGCTACGCTAACAGGGCTCTGCCGGCAGCCGAGAGTGACATTCCGAGCAGAGTTTCTAGGGCTGGCGTCTGCGCCCTCGAGGCGTGCAAACCTGGACTTCATGCTGCAAGCAGTTGGTGCGCCCTCCGCCTTTTTTCCTTGTGGGAACCAGCTCGTCGCCGAAGTTTGACAACGCATCCCGCTGCGCGTGTCTGCGGGTTTGGGGTCCTCGAGGCGTCGATGGCTTTGCCCTGGCCATGGCGGCCGAGGCCCTTTTGGGGCACTGCACGTCGCAGCAACGGTAGAGGGATTCTGTTCTGATCGCATGCATCGACGATCTTTCGAAGTCTGCTTTTGCGGTCAGGAGCTATGGATGCATCCACAGCTTCTTGCAGCTGCAGCGCAGGATTCTCGACAGTATTGGATCGTCTTAGACCACTTGGTCCCAAACAGAGGGCTCCATTAGGAAAGCTATCCGGTGCTTGCCAAGTTGCAGAATGTCGTAACCTTCTTGACTCTAAGGATCGTGACTGCCCGCAGGATTCTGCAAGTGTGCGGCTTGAACAAGCTTGGGGTACAGGGCAGGAAACGTTGGTTGCTCAACGCAAGTTTCATGCAAAAATTACCTTCAGGTCTCGAGGAGCATGAACCTGAAGTTGTGGGATTCCTCAGACGGCTGCTGAAGCATGTGCTCTTTCCCTTAGCCGAGCGGCATGCGACCAAGGGAACCGATCTGCGGCAACTACTGCGGCAAGCTCGGCCCAATTGGCAGGGACCCTGCAGCATTCCAGTGCTGTGTCGGTTTGATACTCAATGACAACACAGGTCGGAAGCAGACTTGCAGTCAGCGGAGCCCAGCTGCCGTGTTGTGCCATGTGCCGTTTCTGTAGCTGATGCAACCATGAAAGCCAGGCAGAAGCTGTCTGTCATCGGTGTCACGACGGTACCGCTTCTTGCACAGGCCAAGCTGCAATGTCCAGGATGATGAGTGTGGGAAAGTTCCGTGAACATCCGTGAACTGCTGTCCCTGAGGCTTCTGCCAGCGATCTGAACGGTCGTTTGCGTGCAGCCGGCCAGAAGATTTTCACGGCCACGACGGTGATGGAGTGCGGCTCCCAGACTCTGCACTCGTCTGCTTTCTCCCCAAGCTTCACAGCAAACCCTTTGGCAAACTCTGAACTGTTTGCCGGCCTATTCCGGCCGTGAAGCCTGCAGCCGGCCCGAATCGCAACCTCGTGCAATCTGACGTCCTTGGACTTGCATCGACAGATGCACTGGGCTAATTATATCTGCATTCCTTGGGTGGCTAGCAGACACCTACTTGCCCAAGCAGGGCCAGCCACGCAACACAAGAAGGAGCATCTCTTAGAGATGCGAGGAATGCGTCCAGAAAGAGTAAGGATTCAAGAGCTGCAGGGCGACGTATCAGAGTCTCAAGAAAGTCAGAGAACCGACGGAACTGATGACAGAAAAACGTGAATCATGAACAGATCTTGGAGCCAGGCGGGAGTTGCTGACTTCGTTGAGATCCCCAAGGCACAAGAGAAGGAGCTCCAACAACAACAATAAGAACAACACCAACGAAACAAGGACAAAGGCTCCAGCTGAGAACGAGGTGCTTCGACGCCAGCTGGACATGCTGCAGCAGCAGACTGCAACAGCCACTGCGTGGTGCAGTCCTCGATGTCAAGGATGAGTTTGCGGATGAGCGACGGCCTGTTGCCGTTGCCGACAACAGTGTTGTGTGGAGCACGACACCTTGGGTTTCCTCTTTGCAGAGGCACTCTACAGCCTCATTATCAAGGCAGTCACCTCTTGATGCCAAAGCTCGAGGAACTTCTGAAGTCAAAGCAGGGTGACAGCTCAAAATACGCACACGCCGGTGCAGGCCAGTTCACGCTGCAGGACCGCACGGCATCAGGCACGTCACCAGTCTGACACGTCACGAAATAGCAGACTCGGACAAGGAGCTCCACAACTTATCCTCGCCCGCAATGGCATCCAGCCTCCTTCTGTCCATCTAGACGTTCAAAAAACATCTAAAGCCATCCAAAACATCCACCAAAACGAAGATCGAGGTCGGCAAAACTTGCTCTCGTTCCGGTGGCAATTAAGGTCCGACAATCAGTTGTGGCGAGGCTCAAGGATTACACTCGCCCTGGTAGAAAATTCGGAGGTGGCGTAGGAGCTGGAACAACATCTGTGGCCCGATTGGTCCACGAGCATCCAAACGCCATTGTCAAAAAGCACGAACAGGAAGTCTACAAGAGCGGATAGCTGAAATTGCCAAAGGTTTATTCCCCGCAGTACCTGGATGCCTTGGACACCCTCCTGAACCACGCCCAGCGAGTTGATCAAGAACCGCAAGCGAGTGTTCCTTGCATGGCAAGCAACGGCAGCAGAGGCAGAGCGCATCTACAATCGGTTACCGGACAAATGCCAGAATTTCCAGTTGCTTGACGAGTACACCTCTGCACTGTGGACACAGAAGGACTGGCTCCAGTGGCGATTCAATATGGTCGTCACGCAACGGCGATGATCCAGATAATCGGTTTCGTTGGAACCCGCAGCGGGCACCGCGCGTGAAGGTCTACATGATGCAGCATTTTGCATCTTAGGCCGAGTGGGGCGCACGTGAAACTTACAGGTAGCTGTGGCTTCAATAAAGTATCGATTGCGGTGTTCTTTTATCGCATAATATCGCATATGCCTCAGCTGCACAGCAGCTCTCGCATACTTGAGCTGACCGCCCTGAGCATCTGGTTACAAGAGCACATGCATGCTTTTTGCTTCCATCCTTTTCTGTATTACGCTGACATGCCCGGGAGAGAGAGAGAGAGAGAGAGCTTGGACTCGCGGGTGCGCGTGCGCGCGC